GGCCTGTACTCTTTTTGTTCGGTTGCTTTGGATTTTACAAAAAGCCCAGAAACTTTAGAACAAAACCAAACACCCGACGTCCTTCTCCGGCGAGCGGCGAAGAGGACGGAGAGGCTACGTCGCCCGAACCCCGGAGAGAAAAAGGGAAGATCCGGACCGCGCCAACTCACCCGGGGCATCCTGCCCGCCGCCTGCTCCCTGTCCCCATTCCCTCGACGACCCCCATCCCTGCCCCCCGGGCTGTTCGGGGCCGGATCCCGGCAGCGGCCTCCCCACAGCGACAGGTAACGCGGTACGGGGTTAGGAATTCCCCGGGAGAGAGGGCGAAGAGAGAAGCGTTCCCCTCCCCTCTCCCCGGCGCGGATACCCGAGCCTGCGGATCGGTAGTGGGGGACTGTCACTTTATTCGCTCTATGCCTCTTCTCTCCCAAGAGGATGCGCCCCATTCCCCTGATCCTTCCTCCGGGCTCGGTTTTTTACGGTTTTTATTTATTCATGGAGCCTCTCGGCTCCTAGGGTCCTTCTAACTCCGCCCGCGCCCTTAATTTAAATCGCTGTATACTGTATTTATCGGGGCCCCGGAGGGGAGGCCGCGAGAGCCGCGTCTGTGTATAAAAGCAGGAAATAGCCAAAGCTTTAATCTAGCCTAATTTATTTTTCCCTCTTACCGTCCCAGCCCTACCCCAAAAGAGCAAAACAAAACAAAAAAAATAACACAAAAACTAACAAAAAAAAAATTTCGAGTGCTCATTTTCGTTTCGTTTTATCCGAGCTCCAACTCGGTTCCGGCCACGCTTTTGGGGTCTGCGCTCCCACCCACACCCCCGATGGCGAGGGGCTCCTGCCCCGCTGCAGACCGACCACCGCACGGCAGGGCCCCCGCTCCCCGCGGGGCCCTGCCCTCCTGGCCACAAACAAATGAAACTTGGAAAAGTTGGAGGTATTTTTTAACCAGCTGTAGAAATAAGCCGTTCCCTGAGAGCCTTCCGCCTGAGTCCCTGCAGCCTCCGTCTGCTCCCTTCGCAGCCCCCCGGGAGGTGGGAGGCTGGGAGAGAAATTCCCCTAGTTTGGGGTGAGGTGGGAACCATGTAAATATGTGAGATATGTACACACTGGCGGGGAGAAGAAACATTTTGTGCTTGATTTTTATTTTTGGTTTTCCGGGTTGCCCTCCGTCCCCATCCTACAGGATTTTGTACACCGACTAATCCGAAAAAGATATTTTAATATGATTTCCAGACTTCTGACCCGTCTCTATTTATTTTCTGGATGTGTCTGGAGCTTCCCCCTCCTCCATTTCTTGTTTCGTTTGTTACAGTTTGAATTTAAATTTTATTTTTTTTATTTTTTGGAACAATGTTTCGGTGCATTCTCTTTGTATCTTTATTGCAAAAAAAATAATAATAATAAGTAGACTGGGAAGTTCCCTTTATATTTATGTTATAGTAAATATTTTATTACTCACATAAACATGTACCCCAGGGCTGTGTCCTGTCCTCTTTACTACCAGGGCTGGGTGGGTTTGTGGGTAAAGTGTGGGGCTCCCCTGGCTCACCTCCCCTAAAGTCTTGGCCTTGCTATTGTAGAGAAAGGTAACCACAACCACCCTTCTTCCAGGCCAGTATCAGGACAGCCTGCTACCTGGGCCACAGCTGGGCCCCTGCCTCAGGTGAGTGAGTTTAGGAAGATGAAGCTGCCTCGAGTCCCCTCCCATAAACAGACTATCTGAGACCGGACCTGGGCCAGGACAGTGAACCGCGGGCACCACACTGAATTGGGGTCAGCGTTCCTCAGGCACAACTCCACTGCTCTTCTTATCCAAGGAAGAAACCCACCTGGACCTGGACCCTTAGCCTGGCGTCTTTGTATCCCCGACCCCAACCCTGATTTTGGTTTCATTTTGCACTCCCAAGTGTGGGGCCGGGGCCAATTTCACCATTCCGGGTCCTGGGGCAGCTGGAAGCTGGCTCAGGTCCCATCAGCCCGTCCCAGCTGGCTCTCCAACCTCAAGCATAATGGTACCTAAACCTACTTGGACCCACTGGCGGTTCCTGCAGGGGTCCTTCGTGAGCTGAGTGAGCCTAAGGAGGGAACCCTACCTGTTTGCTTCGACAAAGGCTTCTCAGCAAACAAACCACCTGCCTCAACTTTTCCTGCAGAAGAGTGGGGGCGTAAACAACTGTACCACCAAAAGCTCTGCCATCTCCTCTAGGGATGGATACCCAAGGGCCGCTCCCCACCCTCTACCCCCATCCAGGCAGGGATGCATATGCCTATGGGAGGACTCCACAGTGTGCAATCAGGACCTGGGTGGAGGGCACAGACATCCTCAAACATCCCCTTCTCAATCCTTCAGCAGCAACACGCCCCCTCCCCAGAGTCAGGGTGGTGGAGGCAGATCAGTGTTCCAGGCCCGAAGCTCAAAACTACCTGTGTCCCAGCCAAGACCTTCCTTTAAAACAACTCCTTTTAAAAATACGAATAAAACAGCCCTGTTTTCTCCCTTCTTTCTTTTCCCTTCTCAAGAGAAACTACACGAGGTTTCTTTTACTCTGCATGGAGACAAAGCTTGAAGCCACAATTGCTTGACTGGGGAGAAAGTTGTGTCCCCCGTGAGGGTGTATGTGTGGCCCCTCTCCCACCAGGGACGAGCTGCCAACTCCCAAGCCTGTGAGAGCCGACTGCATCTAGAGTGTCCAGAGGGGTGCTCCCTGGCCCCAGAGTTGGGGGTCCCTGCCAGGCCGGGGTCTCAGGGTGATTGTGCCATACGGAGAATTCTGGTGACTTTCTGGGCTCTGCCTCTCAATTTTAGGAGAATTGTCTCTGCAAGTACAAAGTTCTCAAATGCCAAACCTCTCCCTCTGCTCCTTATTTTTTCTCCCACTTTCACTCCAGCCTAGTGAGCAATTAGCCCTGTAATTGGCACCCGTGTCCCAGCCGGTCCCCATACTGGCAAGCCAGTGAGCCTCCCCATGCTTCTTAAAGAGGTAGCCAGGAATTTCTGGGCCAGTGAGGTGACAGCATGGCCCAGAGCATCAGGCCACCCTAGCTTGGCCTCTCATTTCCTGCTCCACGAAGTACGGAACTTCGAAGCACTCACACTCCCTCCTTACATCTCCATTCCTGGATTTGTCCCACCCTCAGGGCCCTGAAATGCAAGCACATGGAGCTCGCTCAGCACGCCGCCCTGAGCCTCAGCAGGTTTGGAGGTTGGAAAGAGAGACTGGGAAGACGGAGGTCTTTCACTGGCCTCTGCCTGCAGCTGACACCAATTGATTGATTGATTTCCCAATTATCTGCTTAATCCTGTACAAGAGGGTGGATTTATTATTTAAGCAAGTCAACTCAAAAACAGCAAAACAATGTGGCCTCCCAAGAACCAGCAGCAGCTGACGAGTAGAACAAAAAGATGAAAAAAAGTAGAAAAGGGGACGGAAGAAAATCTTGCACTTTGTGAGGTTTTTGCTTAATGAGACACCAGCCTAGGGCAGCTACCCAGGAACCAACCCCTGGTCACTGAAGGCCCCCCTGGCTCCTTCCCCGTCTCTGGCTTGGGATGAGGGTAGGAACCATAGCACATTTGACCATTAAGGAAAAGCTATAGGGAGAGAAATATTTTACCCTGGAGTCTTACTCCCTGAATAGAGTTTAGGAAAGACACAGTCCCCTGTGAGCTTGACCAAGCCGCTTCTCCATCCCATGCATGTGTGGATCAACCTGCTCATTCCTGAGAGCCTCAGCCTTCCTTTCGTTCTACAGGGGGAGAAGTCCCTAGCAGCAACCTTTGAGGAAGCCCACGCTTTCCCGAGCTGCTTCGGAATTTTCTGATCCCATCTTCCTTCCTCATTTGAACAACATTACGTTCTATGATCATGTGGCCACATGTTCTGTTAGAGCTTCACTCTCCTCATGTGAACTTCTGTGTGCTGGTGTATGAATTTGTGTGTGTGTGCCACTGTGACTGCAAATCCACAGCCACTCCCAGAGGTAGGAGGGGGAGAAGAAAGTCTATGCTACACTGCTAATGCTTTGAGCTGGAAGAACATTTGCAGGGTGGGGGTTGGTCAACAACAGGAAGAAGGAAGGTGACCGTCATGGTCACCTGTGGTCATCCAGGCAAACCCAGAAGGAGCCCTACACTGTACCTCAGGGACATCCACCTCCTGCACCACAAAGGTGCACACACACACACACACACACACACACACACTGGCACTTTCACTTGCACTGGCTTATATGCTGCCTGGCTTAGGTCTGGTACAATCATCCCTTGACCCCAGGTCTCGAGTGCATGTCCACTGGACTAGCTGATCCCAACCACAGCTACGCACTTACAGCTGTTTGGAACCGGGTCTCCTCTGGAGAGGCTCTGGGCCTGCATGTGGGAGTGTCAAGCCCCCGGTGATGCACCCAGGCCCTGGCTCTCCCCAGCAGGGCTTGAGCTCCAGAAAGGAGATGTACCTGAACAGGGGAAGGAGAGAGAGGGCGTTTGCTATCTGGGCCCAATTGCTCCTCCTAAACTTAACAAGAGGATTCACCCAGACCTCCGGCTTCGTGACTGAAGCCAGAGTGGCCATCAATCTTATCCCTGCCTGACATATTTGAAAACCCTGGAGTTAGTGTTTGGCCAGTAGATCAGGGCTCTTCTTGCTGCCTTGGGAGGCCTCCGTGTGGGAGGACTGCCCTCTATTGGTCCCTGAACTGGGACATGGCAACAGTCACCAGGGCCATCTCACAGCTGAGTGTCCCCCCAAAAATTCAGCTTCAAGTTACCTCTGCTATGGCAGTGCCAGATAGAGCAGAGGCAACTATCACCTCCAGGGATGCAGCCCTGCTTCACATACACACACAGGCTGGCCAGACACCTTCCTTCTCCATCTACCACCTCCCCCATCCCACGGCCACGCTCGGAAATTTGCCATCACAGCTACCTCCTCTGTCTGCCTCCCCTCACACCCATCCCCATCACTTCTGTCGGCCAGCTCAAACCCCAACGCACACGCTCCCAGCTTGCTCACTCACTCACACACTAACACACTCATGGTCACACCCATACCACTGTTTGGCTGTCCAGCACCAGTTCTGTAGTCTTCGGCTCATAGCTCTCCAGAGTTGCCAGATGCCTAGCGCCTGTAACATTTCATTAAACACACACAGTCATGCTTTGCAGCATTTGACAAGGTCCCCATACTCTCAGGATATCCACGCACTTACCCCGCAAACTGCTTTCCAAACACATCCGTGCCCATCATTGTTCTCAGCTCCTCCCAGCTCTCTCCTGCTCCCTT